ATATAGTGATTCAACAATTCTATACATTACTCAGTGCTCATCGTAATAATCCCCTTCACCTATTTAATCCCCTTCACCTTCTTTAATCCCCATCACCTATTTCAGTCATCCCCCTACCTATCTCCTCTCTGGTAACCATCTGTTTGTTCTCTATAGTTAAGAGTCTGTTTTTTGGTTTATCTCTCTTTTTTTTTTTTCTCTTTGTTTATTTATATATTTTTTAATTCCACATTAGTGAAATCATATGGTATTTGTCTTTCTCTGACTGACTTAATTCACTTAGCATTATACTCTAGCGCTATCCATGTTGTTGCAAATGGTAAGATTTCATTCATTTTTGTGGAAGAATAGTATTCCACTTGTGTGCGTGTGTGCATATGTTTATATATATCACATCTTTCTCCATTGATGGACATTTATTTGTGTATCTTTGTCTTTGATGGATATTTGGGCTGCTTCCATAACTTGCCTATTGTAAATAATGCTGCAGTTATCATAGAGGTGCATATTTCCTTTCAAATTGGTGTTTTTGTGTGATTTGGGTAAATATGCAGTAGTGCAATGACTGGATTATATGTTAACCCTATTTTTATTTTTTGAAGAATGTTTATACTGTTTTCCACAGTGACTACACTAGTTTGCATTCCTACTAGCAGGACACAAGAGGTTTTTTTTTTCCTCCACATCCTTGCCAACACTTATTATTTCTTGTTTTTTATTTTAGCCGTTCTGACTGGTGTGGTTTTGATTTGCATTTCCCTGAAGATGAGTGATACTGAGCATCTTTGTCTACACATGTAGAAAAATGTTGCTATGCCAAATTTCTGAGAAATTACTGCCTGTGCTCTCTTCTAGGATTTTTATGGTTTCAGGTCTCACGTTTAGGTCTTTAATCCATTTTGAGTTTATTTTTGTATATGGTGTAAGAAAGAGGTCCAGTTTCATTCTTTTGCATGTAGCTGTTCAGTTTTCCCACTACCATTTGTTGAAGAGACTGTCTTTATTTCATTGCATATTCTTGCCTCTTTTGTTGAAGTTCAGTTGACCATATAATCCTGGGTTTGTTTCTGGGCACTCTGTCCTATTCCATTGATGTATGTGTGTATTTTGTGCCGGTACCATACTGTATTGGTAACTAGAGCTTCGTAGTGTAACTTGCAATCTGGAATTATGATACCTCCAGCTTTGTTTTTCTTTTTTGAGAATGTTTTGGGTATTTGAGGTCTTTTGTAGTTTTATACAGATTTTAGGGTTATTTGTTCTAGTTCTGTGAAAAATGCTGTTGTTTTTGTTTTGTTTTGTTTTGTTTTGTTTTTTTAGTTTATTTTGAGAGAGAGAGAGAGAGAGGGCCAGAGAGAGAGAGAGAGAGAGAGAGAGGGAGAGAGGGAGAGAATCCCAAGCAGCCTCCATGCTTCCAATGCAGAGCTTGACTCAGTTCCACAAACCGTGAGATCATGACCTGAGCTGAAATCAAGAGTTGGACAGTCAGCCGACTGAGCCACCCAGGCACCCCACTGATTATACTTTGATAGGGATTTCATTAAATCTGTAGATAGATTGTTTTGGGTAGTGTGAACATTTTAAAAATATTTGTTCTTCTAGTCCAGGAGCATGGAATGTCTTTACATTTGTCTGTGTTGTCTTCAATTTCTTTCATCATGTTTTATAGTTTTTAGAGTACAAGTTTTTGAACTCTTTGGTTAAGTTTATTCCTAAACATTTTTTCTTTTTGGTGCCGTTGTAAATGTGATTGCTTTTTAAATTTCTTCCTATTGCTTCATTATTAGTGAATAGAAATACAGTGGATTTCTGTATATTGATTTTGTATCCTGCAACCTTACTGAATTCATTTATCAGTTCCAGTAGTTTTTTGATGGAGTCTTTAGGGTTTTCTCTATACAGTATCATGTCATCTACATAAAAATAATGAAAGTTTTACTTTTTCCTTACCAATTTGGATGCCTCTTATTCCTTTTTCTTGTCTGACTGGTGTAGCTTTGGCTTCCTATACTATGTTGAATAAAAGTGGCGAGAGTGGGGACGCCTGGGTGGCTCAGTTGGTTAAGCGTTCGACTTTGGCTCAGGTCATGATCTTGTGGCTCGTGAGTTCAAGCCTCGTGTTGGGCTCTGTGCTGACACGTCAGAGCCTGGAGTCTCCTTTGGATTCTGTGTCTCTCTCTCTCTCTGCCCCTCCCCTGCTTGTGCTCTGTCTCTCTCAATCTCAAAAATAAATAATAAAACATTAAAAAAAAAGTGGTGAGAGTGGACATCCTTGTTTTGTTCCTGATCTTAGGGGGAAAGCTCTCAGTTTTTCACCTTTGAGTATGGTATTAGCTGTGGATATTTCATATACGACCTTAATTACGGTGAGGTATGTTCACTCCAAACCTACTTCGTTGAGGGATTTATCATGCATGTTGTACTTTGTCTAATGCTTTTTCTACACTATTATTTTATTTTATTTTATTTTATTTTATTTTATTTTATTTTATTTTATTTTAGAGAGTGAGAGAGCATAAGGTGGGGAGAGGAGCAGAGGGAGGGAGGGGGGAGAGAGAGGGAGTGGGAAGGGGAGAGAATTTTAAACAGGCTACAGGTTTAGCACAGAGCGCAGTGTGGGGCTTGATCCCATGATCCTGGGATCATGAACTGAACTGAAATCAAGGGTCGGATGCTCAGCCAAGTGACTAGGCACCCCCTTTTCTGCATCTATTGAAATGATCATATGGCTTTTATTCTTAATGTTACGGATGTGATATATCATGTTGATTGATACGCAAATATTGGACCCCACCCTTGCATCCCAGGAATAAATCTCGCTTGATTGTGGTGAATGATTTTTTTTTAATGTATTACTGGATTCAGCTTGCTAATATTTTGTTGAGGATTTTTACATCTATGTTCATCAGAGATACTGGCCTATAGTTCTCTTTTTTGTAGTGTCTTTATCTGGTTTTACTATGAGGGTACAATGCAAGTCTCAGAATGAATTTGGAAGCCTTCCCTCTCTTCTATTTTTTGGAATAGTTTGAGAAAAATAGTTATTAACTCTTCTTTGAGTGTTTGGTAGAATTTGCCTGTGAAGCCTTCTGGTACTGGACTTTACTTGTTGGGAGTTTTTTGATTACTGATTCAATTTCATTGCTTGTAATGGGTCTGTTCAAATTTTCTATTTCTTCTTGATTCAATTTTGGGAGGTTATATGTTTCTGGGAATTTATCCATTTCTTTTAGGTTTTCCAATTTGTTGGCATATAATTTTTCATAATATTCTCCTACAATCCTTTGTGATATTTCTATGTTGTTGGTTATTTCTCTTCTTTCATTTGGTGATTTTGTTTATTTGAATACTCTCTGTTTCTCCCTCTTTTTTTTCTTTCTTTGGATGACACTAGCTAACGGTTCATCACTTTTGTTGATCTTTTAAAAGAACCAGCTCCTGGTTTCACTGATCTGTTCTGTACTTTTTTCAGTTTTTATTTCGTTTATTACTGTTCTAGTCTATATTATTTCCTTTCTTCTATTGGTTTTGGGTTTTGTTTGTTCTTCTTCTTGTAACTCTTTTATGTATAAAGTTAGGTTGTTTGAGATTTTTCTTCTTGAGGTAGGTCCATGTTGCTCTAAACTTTGCCCTTGCAACCACTTTTGCTGCTTCCCAAGATTTTTGGTCATTGTGTTTTCATTTTCATTTGTCTCTGTATTTTTTTGATTTCCTCTTTGATTGCTTGGTTGATCCATTCATTGTTTTAGTAGCATGTTGTTTAACTTACATGTATTTGTGCTATTTCCAGATTTTTTCTTGTGGTTAATTTCTAGCTTCATAGCATTATGGTCAGAAATGATGCATGGAATGACTTCCATCTTTTTAAATTTGTCGAGACTTGTTTTGTGGCCTACTGTGTGATTTCTTCCGGAGAATGTTCCATGTGTACTTGAAACGAATGTGTATTCTGGTATTTTAGGATAGAATGTTCTGAATATATCTGTTAAATCCATCTGGTCCAAACGTGTCAGTCAAAGCCACTGTTTCCTTGTTGATTTTCTATTTGAATGATCTGTCCATTGATGTAAGTGGGGTGTTAAAGTCCTCTACTTTTATTGTATTAATATTGATTATTTACTTTATGTTTGTTATTAACTGCTTTAAATATTTGGGTGCTCCT